GAATTACTCTGAATTAAAAACACTTATTATATACTGTTTAAGAAGAAGATTGAATTCTGAATATGACCGGACTTTTCCTAAAATGTCACATGCAGAACAAAACCAATAATGATTTTTTTCTCCAGGTATTCATGACTTTGTTGTTTTTTTAAACCGGGCGATCCTTTTGATCCTTTATACATTTTTGAACTGATGCTCTATATCCGGTTTATGAGATAATAGATGATAGGTGTGAATTTAAGAAGAATAGTAGTGTACCGATACCAGAGCCGGGTCGCGAGTACCAACCAATAGGGCACCGTTACCATTTTGAGAGCCAAAAGTTTATTCAACTATTGTCACCCATTCCAGGTAGGCAATAAAAAGTTCTACTGGATTCGCTTTGTATTAGTCTTTTTCCTGCTTCACAAAGGTAGGCAGCAGCTTGACAAAGCCATGATGGCAATTATTTTACATCCAAGTAGTCTGCAGTTCTTCATATACACACACACATATCAATTTCAAACAGATGGTATGGATATGGGCCGATACTGTACAGCCAGGTCGGTATCGGGGCCAAAAATTGCATCGTCGCAACACTAATAAATAGTGATCCAGACTCGCTTTTTCAAGCGGGTTATTTCCTCTGTTCTGTTTCTGCATGGAGTTTGCATTCTCCCTGAGCACATGTGGGTTTTCTCTGGGTACTCCGGCTTCCTCCCACGGTCTGAATACATAAGTGTTACGTTAATTTGCTTCTCTAGATTCTCCTTAGGAATAAGCGTGTACGTGAATGGTTGTTTGTCCTGTTTGTCTCTGTGTTGACCTGCGATGGACTGGCGACCTGTCCTGGGTTTACCCCGCCTCTCGCCCATTGATTGCTGGAGATAGACACCATTAAACGTCACAACCCCACTTTGGAATAAGGGTGTCAGAAAATGGATGCATGGATGATGCTCTGTTCTATTTTTATCTTCTGTTGAACTGGAAAGGAAATATTTTCAACCTAGTAGGTGGAAAATATTCAATCCGTTTTGTTAATCTTGAAAAAAGCTACGATATTAACAAGTGCGCTCAATAAAACTCGGCGTCAGATCAGGAACGTGATGAGGAAACTGTAACCTCTAAAGAGCCAGCAGCATGGCGTTTCTTAGTGTTTAAAGTACAATGACAAAATAAAACCCTCGGAAAAGCCTGATCGATGAATCGCCAGGTTTTTTTCACACTTAAATCCCCACATTGACTTCACCATGGCTGGTGTAGCCTGGCTGTTTGCCTCATCCGATTATTTTTGTGCCTCATTCCTACAAATGAGTGAGCAGGTTTATGTGTCACTAATCATGTAACATTAAAGCAAATGTATTTTTAAGATTTAATACTATGTTTGGTATAAAACAACACCTGATATAACATTAAATAAAGTTAATATCAACATGACTTGGTTTGATGATTTAAATATTTCATAGGCTGAGATGTTTCTGGGTGAAGTGATGCCGCCCAGCAGCTCCTCAGAGTCCTCTATGGTAGATCAGCTCCTCGCCAACCGCTCCGGGTAGCAACTCCTTCTCCACCTTCTCCCGTTTTATCTGTAAGACGAAGCCGGGGTCAGCCTGGGTAGTCACATGGAAAGCATTAGATGGGATCAGAGGAGCCTGAAACTCACCGTTCCTACTGGTGAGAAGAGGCTGAACGAGACGGGGACCATCAGGCAGAGGGTCAGCACGACGCTGATGTGGCGGCATGGAGCCACCAGCAGAGAGTTCCTCTGGAAAAATCTGGTTCTGCAAGGGGAAAATGAATTTCTGTTTTCACTAAAAAATGTATAATACTAATGGGAAAGCGTAGCCTAGTGGTTTAGGGCATTGTGCTTGGAATCTAGAGGTTCGAGCCCCACTCCCTGAGCAGACCTTTAACCTCCACACTGCTCCCTTGGCGCCGCACAATGGCAGCCCACTGCTACCCAAGGGGATGGGTTAAATGCAGAGAG